CAATGTGCGATAGTATGTGTAGCTGTAGAAACATCCAGATTCATCTGGGGCTGATAAACTGTTAGGTGTGGCTCATTTTCATTCTACACTGGATTCCAGTATCCCCTGAAAAAACAGCCTTCTCCACACTGTTTGGGTTACATCAATTTGTCACTCTTCCATTCGGGTTGTTTGGAGCTCATGGACAAGGTTCTTGGCCCCCACTGTGCTTATGCCACTGCTTATTTGGATGACATAATCACTTATGACCAACCCAAAGAAGTGTGTGATTGGACGGGTGGAGGTATGGTATCTGGGCTTCCACTTGGGTCACAGACAGGCACGCCCCCAAAATGATAAGACTGCAATGATTGCAGCCTGCCTGAGACCTAAGACCAAGAAAGAGGTGAGACAGTTCCTGGGGCTGGCTGGTTATTACTTTAGGTTTGTGCCTAACTTTTTGGATGTTACCAGCCCACTGACTGATCTCACTAAAAAGGGAGCACCCCAACTGCTCCAGTGGATGGGGCAGTGTCAACAGACTTTTAACCATGATAAAGCAGTTCTCTGTGGAGGCCTGCTACTGCATTCTTCTGATTTCCTCTCCCCTTTGTCTTGCAGACCGATGCATCAGAGGCTGTTTTGTCCCAGGTGGTGGAAGGGGATGATCACCCAGTGCTGAATATTAGTCAAAAGCTCTAAGTTAGAGAGGTTAAGTATGGCACAATTGAAAAGGGTATGTCTGGCCATCAAATAGGTGGTCCTTAATCTCTGTTACAACCTGCTTTTATCCCTCTGTTCTGACCACGCCCCTCTCCAGTGGCTCCACCGCATCACAAATACCAACGCGAGAATCACCCATTGGTATCTGGCCTTACAGGCCTTAAACATTTAGGTAGTTCACAGGCCAGGGGCTCAGATGGTGGTGGCCGACTTTTACACCAAGGGGGGAGTGGATTGCTGGCAGGACGACTGCCCGGCCTGAGTTGGGGGGTGGGGGTATGTGGAAGGGGGGCATGGTCGAGCGTCACATGCAGTATGGAGAGCCAGTCACAGTGAACAAACTAAGTAGCTGATACACTTCACCTGTGTGTCATCCCTATCAGTCTATTTATAGCTGCGTCTCCTCTCAGTAGGGAGACTTGTGGAGACACAGAGGAAGAAAACCTAAAAGACTGAATGGCCAGGCCAAGAAATAGAGCCATCAGAGCTGAAAAGCTGAGGTATTTTTGTTCTTTTTGTTGGTTTGTAAAAATAAAAGGAAAAGTCTGTGTCTACCCACCCTGCTCCCACTGTCGTCATTTCAAGACAACCTACCAGCATGACACAGATGGTTTTGGAAATAAGGACAGTCAGCTGAATCTGATCAATTGGTTAATCAATCTGAACTGCATTTTGTTGAGCAACCACTGTGGTAACAATGGATAAAGTGTTGAAAATGTCATTTAAATATGGTAGTTGTTGAATTGGAAACGTCTCCCTGGTTGTTTTTAGACACAGTTTCTAGTTTACCGAATCTGAATGACTGGTTGGAGTTTATTTCCTGGCCAACAATCTTATTGGCTGGGGTTGGGCTTTACAACATAGTATAGCTAATCAGATTGATTGGAGTTGGGATCTGGGCTCTGATAAACTAAATCTGAATAGTGGGTGCTGGTTTTTAGGCTCTAGTCATAGGGGCTGTGACTGGGGCTGGGCCAGCTGTTAAGCCACCTCTGGCCACCAGAGGGAGGCAAGGAACCACTCCATGATTAGGGGCAACTGGCAGCACCTGTTTCTCCATCTACAGCAGGCATGTCAAACTAAGGACGATGAGCTGAATCAGGTGTGTTTAATGAGGCAGTTTGCTAAAGTCTGCAGTTTTTTTGGCCCAGGAGGACTGGGGCCTGACATGTGATTTATAGAGAAACTCACCATTACATCTGCCCTGAGTGTCTCCTTTCAAAGTTCTGTCCAAGGCCAAGCTGGTAATTTGGTAAAGCCCATAAAGTCTTCTACCTACATTCAAACTTTTCTTGCTTTTGCCAGCCCTGACCCCTTGAATGTTCCTCCCAAATTTATTTTTGGATCTTCTTTCCTGGGCTTTCCAGAGTCCCTTTCTCAGATTTCCAAAAAAAGGAGAATAACTACTCAAAGTAGAGAGCACTCTCTTGTACTTGCTAGGATTTGTCCCTCAGCATCTTTGTTTTCATTATTTCTTGGTTTCTAGCTGATGGCCTTCATTTTCCCTTTGCCTTTCATTTTAAGTCCCTCCTCTGGTTGTGTAACAAGTTGAGCGGTTTGTATTCTTCTCTGGACTTTACTTAGTCCTTGTTTTGCGGAGTTCTTCACTTGGTCGATGCCAGCACACAGCTGGGTTTACTTTTTGATTTTATTTTGGTTTGTGTTGTAAGTTCTTGGGCAGCTCTGTACTTGGGTCTATTTCTCTATATCCTCAGTTGGTATTCACTCGGTTAACACTGGTCTCCTATACTTAGGGTTTTGGGTTTCACTCTCAGAAAATAAAGGTACTAAACTGTCACTGGGGCAGTACCCCTCTTGTCCCTAGGGTGGTCCCTTCAAGGGTACATCTCAGTACATTTAGTCAAGGATCATAACTGTACCATAATCCACTGAAAAGATATTTTCCACAGTACAGGTACAAATACGTTTTTTTCACCTGGAAAAACTTATTTAAGGTTCACAGTTGGACCTTAAAACCACTGTTGTACCTTTTGAGGGCACATTTACATTGTTTGTACCTTGATGAATGAAAAATGTACCTGAACAGAACTTTTATTTCTAACAGTGTTGAATGCAAATGTATTCAACTGGATGTTTGGTGCTTGAGTATAGCCTCTGATTGACTGAATCTCATTGGCAGGTGTTGGGTTCTAGGCTCTGGTAGACTAAATCTGATGGATTGATTAAGCCGATAATGTAACCCCTAAAATCGCAGGCTTCTTACATACTTAGGCTTATTATTCAGTGACTGCATGGACTTCAGAGCAAACAGGCTAAGTTATTCTAAAGTTATAGAAGTGTTAAAGAAAACCTTGGGCCCACTAGTGAATCACATGGAAGAACCACCTCTCTCTAATGTAGGTAAGTGCTTTTTCATATTAGTCTGTCTTTACACAGTTGTGTCATTGCTACAACCTCACTGCTGAAGAGAGACAGTAACCCCACTCTGGAGTCTAGGGTTAGGAGTTTACAACATAGAAATAAAAAGAGCAGCACAACAAAGTCAGATTAAAGCCAAAAAGATATATTTTCTCTTTTTTTGCATACCTAAAAATCTTGTTTCTTGTTTATTTGAACATATATTAGCCACAGATTCAGTCACTATACCAGGACATATAGCATCAGGGTGGACTGTGAAGTTTTTTTTCCCTCAAGCAAAAGAAATAACCATACAATAAAATACAAATTCCTTCCCTAAGTCCCTAGCTGGTAAAAACAGAGGAAAAAGGGATGAAAAATAAGTGGCTTTCACCCCTACCACTCCTGGAAGTCTTACTTTATATGAATTTGAATAGAAAATTACATGCTAGATCTAGCATGTTAATAGCAGGGCTAATAATCTAACAAAGAACAACAAGCATTTTTAAAAGCCCAAAACTGCCATGAGCACATGGTGTCTGTCGCCAGTACTGCTCGGTGTCTGGGCTTTTCAGTGTCACACCATTGTCATTGACCAATCATGAGGCACAATCATATGTAACATCCCCCCCGCTATGCCAACCCCCAAAATTGGAATGTCAGTCTGGTAGAGAGATTACAAACAAACAGAAAAAGCAAAAAGGGCAACACCACATCAATTGCAAATTCAGTATCATTACAGTACATGTCTTAGGACATGTCATCATGTAACAACATAGAATAGTCCATTATAACTGTGACTGAGGGTGGGGCTGCACTGAAATTACTGAAAACAGCTATTTTAAAAATTAAGTATATCTGTTTCAGAATAGATTATTTAACATCAACACAAAGTATATCTAATTTGTATTTCATGAGGCCTTAAGCTGATGGGGGCCGTAGGTGGCTGACTACATTTGCTTGGTGTTAAGACCAGCCCTGGCTTAGTCTTGGGAGTCTAGGTTCTGGTAGACCAGATCTCAGTAGAGTTGGGCTTTAGACTGTGGTAATTTGAATCAGGTTCTCTGGTTCTGGGATCCAGGCTCTGATAGGCTGAATCTGATTGGTTGGTGCTGGGGTTTAGGTTCTGGTAGACTGGAGTCTTAATGTTGTTGTTTTGGTTTTCAGGTGGATAATTTTCATAATCATCATAAGCCTGAAATTAGAGTAAAATAGGTGAAATTAGAAGAACCTAATCTACAACTCACTTAACTCACATTTATGTAATTAATAACTATACTATACATGATGTATCCATTCTGTAAAAGACACTGGATTTGAGATAGTAAGTCTGAAGTTGTGACAGACTCAACTGTTCATTTCTTTTTCTGTCAATAGGGAAAATGTTTTTTTTTAATAATTATTCAGAGATCTTTGTACTTCATCCATTGACTTACTGTTACATTTGTTCTTGATTGTCTGCAGAAAAATCCAGAGTCTGCAGAAAGAGAGAAAATATCAGCTGTACAAATGTTCTATTCATTCCATCTCCACTAGAGGGAGTCGGTGGCTTTAACTAGGTGTATGAAACTGGAAAGCTTCTCCTATTTACTACAGAGCAGCAGTCTCAGATATAAAAGATGTCTGTATTAGAAAGGGATATTCTGGATATTCCTCTTCTGTAAATCAAATTATCAATCTACCTAGATTGAAACTACATTATGCAATGGGCGCAAAGCTGATTCCAGTATGTTAGTAACTGTTAGTCTTGCCTGCAGTCTTCCCTACTTTTAAACTTTTGCCCTTTTTTTAAAATTTTTCTGCTTGTGAAATACATTCATTCTAAAATGTATTCTAACCACTAAAATACACATTTTCATACCTTTTTTTAAATGTATTCGACACATAAATTTGACATTTACTGCTTTTTCAGATATGGTTACATGGTTTCTGTGCATATCTCAGTGTTTAACAGTACCTTGTGTTTTCTTGTATCTCAGTTTATAGATCAGTGCTGATCCTCCAATCAGCAGCAGAGCCACACAGACACACACAGTGATGATGATCACAGAGGAACCTGAAGATGAGAGCCAGAAAGAACAGACTATGACCAACTTTATCACATCACATGACCACCTTCTAAATCATTGAGAATCATTTACCATGAATGTAGCATAAAATGTTCATAAGATGAAGTTCCTTGTGACAAAGTTGTGTTTGGACCTGCTGGTCTCAGATGGTTTGGATCTGATCTTTCTTTTGCTTGTTCGAAATGTACAATAAAATCTATTTCAGTACGAATGTTTGCATTTCCTGACTTTAACCATTAGTAATTACGTGTATTCATATATGCCTGAAGCAAAATGAGACAAGTGAATGTAGAACAGAAGTGTTTTGAATAATGAGTGAGTTTTACTGAAATGTTCTTCATCAGGTGTGACTGGTGTTTTTTCTGTTGCTGTGGTCCTGTAAGACGCTGCTCTTGATGGTGTTGATGTGATCTTGTAAGACGCTGTTGTTGGTGGTGCTGTTAATGTGCTCCTGTAAGACGCTGTTGTTGGTGTCATAGTCGTAGTTGGACCTGATGACATAAAGATATATAAAGATAGAGCAAATACAATATGATAAAAGTGAAAGCTTTATAAAGACGTAGTTTAGCCCCACTGACTGGCCTTTCTGACTTTAACTATTAGAAAATACATTTCTTCTTATCTGGACAGACACAGTTGGAACAAATGACCAAACAGACAAACCACATCTAAACTGAGAGTCTAACTTCCTCTGTTCTCTGTGGTCTGAAGCTGATTCTCCCACTCAGTGTAGAGTGCAAATATTGGTCGTTTTAGGTTTACCCAAGTTTTTTTTCCAATAACAATTGCAAATGCATTAATTTTCTCTCCTTATCAGCAGTCAAAATTTTCCAAACATGACAATAACATAAACAAAGCAAACAATAAAAAATTCAAAACATTATTCAAAACATTTTTATAGAAACTGTGAGGTGGTTTACAAACCAAATTAGAATCTGTTGTTCAATGATTAACTATCTTCCCTGAACACTAATAAACAGTGACATAAAGTTAATGTGTCTCACCAGTAACCTGTAGGTGAATCTCTGTAGAGAAGGAGTTGTAATTTACTGATTTTGTTCCAATTGCAGCTCCACAGAAATAAACTCCTCCATCATCTTCTCTCACATCACTGATGTTCACTATGAGAACTTTAGATCTTCTGTCATCAGAGATGGAGAATCTGTCTCTCTGAGTCTCTGTGGTTCGGATAACTTCAGTAAAATATTGACCATCCTGTTTGTATAAGTACTTGTAGTTTGTTTTAAACTCCTCTGGATATGAACAGCTGATGGTGACAATCTCTCCCAGATTACCAGCCACAGTCTTTGGTCCCAAACAACATGGATCTGTCAAACATACAAAAATAATTGAATTAATCCAATAATGTCAGATGGAGTATCTCCAAGTTTTCATGGCACATAAAATACTTTCCGAAATAACTTGATGACTTATTATTTGTAGGATATAAGAATTTCTCACCTGAGTTCACTTTCAGGTTCACAGTATGATTCCACACTCCAGTCTCTCCACACAGATATGATCCAGTATCCTGTAAACTCAGGTTTCTGTATCTCACAAGAAAACCTTCAGTATAGTGAAGTAAAGATAATCTGTCTTGACTCCATGGGTTCTGGTTATCTACATACGCACACTCACTTGGTGTCACTTTACAAAAATATTCATTAAACGCTTCATGATTATGGTGCTTGTAGTAGATCTCAACAATACCTCCTGGGTAGCCAATCACATCAGAGCAGCCCACTTGACCTGCCAATCAAATGGCACCTTTTCAGTCAGATTTTAAAAAACTAAACTCCACCATTCTATAAATTCTACAGTTGTGCACCAAACTAACTGCAACTAAAATCTATCATTAACACAGAATCTGAATGCTATGTTGCTCTGTAAAACAAACTATAATTTAAATGAAATATAAAGTCTACAGTTCGAAGTAGAATAACTGACCTGAGATCAGGTAGAGAGTAAAGATGATGAGGATCTTCATCCTGGACTGAACTTCAGTTTCACTGATCTTTACACAAACACAGGACAATGTTTTCTTTTGTTCTCCTCAGAGTTAGACTCTACTCTTCTCTGTAGTGTGTCGTCCTCTCTGTGTGTCTCCTCTTCTATCTGGTTTGGTTGTTTCCTGTTTCTCAGATAAGAGTCAGAGTTACTCAAACTCATGGCTCCTCCCAGCAGCATCACTGACCACAGACTAAATTAAACACATAGGATGTTATGAGATCATATTTGTGCTGAGATATTTCTGGATAACATACCACAGTGAACAGAGACTATCGTAGACACATTTTGTTAGATTCTTTGTCCTGCAGAGATGAAATTTGTTTTCACAGCCTGTGCCATTTGTACATATTTCTGGGGTACACAAGATCAGATATTTGACAAATTACATACAGAAAACTATATATATATATATATATATATATATATATATATATATATATATATATATATATATTTATAGCCCCCTTTTACCCTATTCTTTAGTAGTCAGGACCCTCACAGAGCAGGTACTATTTGGGTGGTGGATCATTCTCAGCACTGCAGCAACACTGACGTGGTGGTGGTGTGTTAGTGTGTGTTGTGCTGGTACGAGTGGATCAGACACAGCAGTGCTGCTGGAGTTTTTAAACACTGTGTCCACTCACTGTCCACTCTATTAGACACTCCTACCTTGTCAGTCCACCTTGTAGATGTAAAGTCAGAGACGATAGCTCATCTGCTGCTGCACAGTTTGTGTTGGTCATCCTCTAGTCCTTCATCAGTGGTCACAGGACGCTGCCCACAGGACGCTGTTGGCAGGATAATTTTGGTTGGTGGACTATTCTCAGTCCAGCAGTGACACTGAAGTAAAAAAAACTCCAGCAGCACTGCTGTGTCTGATCCACTCAGACCAGTGCAACACACACTAACACACCACCACCACGTCAGTGTTACTGCAGTGCTGAGAATGATCCACCACCCAAATATATCCCTGGCATGATGAAAGTAAGGTGAAGAAAGAGTTTAGTGGGATGATCCAGGTCTTGTACTATTGTGAAGGCCTTTCTTAAAGTAGCTTTATTGTTCAGGTTTTACAGGTTGTGTTGAGGAGGCCTATGATTTTTGAGGTGATATGTGTAATACGTAACAGTTTGTTGATGTTTGACACTTAACAAACATTGTAACGAAACATGTTGAACAGCACAACATGATAGACTCAGTTATGCTTCTATAGAGAAGCAAGAGCAGTGAAGGTGCTACATGAAGCGCCCTCAGCTTTCTAATAACAGAAAGTCTCTGCTGACAGCTCTTATAGAGGTCCATTACACGTTGGTCAAGGCTGATTTTATGGTCCAGAGTCCAAGGTACTTAAAACCGTGTACCACTTCCACATCTTCCCCCTTGATTGTAACTGGGCTATGAACATTTTGGCGAGCTGATGATCATCTCCTTTGTCTTTGAGACATTCAGCTGCAGATGATTATCTACATACTGGTAGGCTGCGACCAAGTTACTGTCTTTAAGATGTCAAAGTACTGCAGTGTCATCTGAATACTTAAGATATATGGTGGCTGGAGAGGGCCTATAGGCAAACTGGGGAGGATCCAGCTGTGATCTGACAGCTGAAAGAATCAAGTTCAGCATCAGTTTTTCCAGGCATTTCATATGTATTGCAGTTAGCGCAATTGGCCGGTAATGATTTAGTTGAGAGGGATGTGGATTTTTGGGCACAGGAATGATAGTATTTGTTTTCCAGAGGGTTGGGACTGACCCAGTCCTGATGGACTGCATGAAGAGTGGATGGAGGACAGGCGACAGCTCCATAGCACAGCCTTTACACACTTTTGCTTGTATTGCTTGCTATCGGGTCCTATAGCTTTATTTGTCTTGCACCTTTTGAGCAGCAGGTGCACATCCTCTTGTGTGAAGAGAGGGGCAATACATGAACGTGATTTGGGAAGAGCCCTACGCAGCCCCTCACATTCCCCAGAACAGTTGAGAGTATCAAAACATGCACAGAAAGTGTTCAACTCGTCTGCAAAGGAGACTGGGTCACTTGCTAGTTCTCTTTTTTCTGGTTCTTGAGCAGTAAGAATTTTTAATTTCTGAAAAGCTTGTCTCACATTCATTGTTCTCAAGTCCTGTTCTAGTATTTCCTTGTAATTTGGCCTTGAGAATATCATTTTTCAATGAACCACATATGATTTTTAGAGAAACCCAGTCCCCGCATTCACAGGTTTTCTGTTTTTCCTTCAGCATGTGTTTAATTTGAGAGGTGATCCAGGGCTTGGTGTTGGGGTACTTTTTGAGAAGAATGATAGTTTCAACACAGAACTTAATGTAGCCTGTGATGTCGGTGACCTTCTTGTCCAAATCAGCATTAAATACGTTCCAAGAGCCTTGCAATTGTGTAGCTTGTGCGCTATATGCCTGGTTAAAATTCCCATAATGCAAGTCTATGAGTTTTCCAGTCTTGTTGGGATATCCACATACTGTTAGAAAAAAGGCAAGTATTCAATCTACACGTTAAAATCACCCATGATGAACACTGGAGCTTCGGGGTTTTGGCTAGCATCTTGTTAGCCACCTCAGTTGCTAGCTCTGTTGTCAGCGCTAGGTGTAACATACACAGCTTACATCAGTAGTAGGGAATTCTCTCGGGAGGTACAAAGGACGGAGGGAGAGATTCAGCCTTTCCAGATTTGGAGTGCGGATCCTATTGTGGATCTTTATATTCATGCAGCATTTGTGATTTGTGTAAACACGGACTCCACCACCTCTTTCTTTGCTGGATCTTCTTGGTCGGTCTATTTGGAAGATGGGAAAGTTATCAAGACTGACCTCGGCAGACTACCCCATCAAACCAGGTCTCCATCAGGGCGATAATAAGCAGTCACTGTAAAAGATTTTATATTCAGGTGAGCATTACCACACAACTTTTAAATATTTCATTTCATAAAGAAAAATCAAATTAAACATAAAAAAGTCATGTTAAGGAGAGTTTGTGTTGTAAAATTGTTCCTGATATCCTTAGTATCCTAAAGATGAGCCAGAAGGGAGTTTTCTTTTATGTAATTTCTAGCTATTAGTCTTCATCTTGGACATTCATGATTTTCCTTTGGCTTCCATATTTGGATAATTTGGCTCCAATTATTAAGACTTTTTCATTGTTTTCATTGTCTCTTCTATATTAAAAGAAAATACCCCAAGCAATGAGGCCTTTAACAACAGTGTGTTGGCTAAATGGTAGCAGTGCCTGCCACTTAGAAAAAAACAGCACTGTTTCCATCTAGTGGTTCATGTTAGTAATACTTCATGAACATTTACTAGCATATACATTGTAGTGTCGGCATAGAGTAAGACATGAGTAGACCATGATTCTGACAGCCCACATCCCCAACACAGAATAGCATAAATAACTTGTACCACATCACAAACAATACAAACGGTCCATTTTCTGGAGAGTGGACACCTCCCATGCTCCTCCTGGTGCACCCATCAGCATGGCCATGCCTCAAAAGCTCAGTAGCAGTTCTCTACATAGCCAGAAGAGACAGAAATAGACCATAACCAACTTTATCACAAACATGACCACAAACACCTTCTCAAATCAGGAACGCTCCGGCTCCACATGAGTTCTAGTTCCTGGTGTGGAGCCCTAAACTACTGAACCCCTGCCTGAACATACACTGACACACCAAAAGTCATGGGATAGCAGTATGTAAATGGATTATGAAGTGGCATTACCTCAGGGGACAGCTTGGGGATGCCTACACTTGTTTAAATTATGAGATGTTATCTTGTGAGTGAGGTTAACACTGGCCAGCATGCTCATGGCAAGGTGACGGTGAGTTTGAATGAGGCATGATAGTGGGTGCCAGAAGGAAGGAACATTCAGTTTCCGAAGTTGTGTGGGAATTTATCATTCCTCAATCCACAGCATCCTGTGTGTGGCAGGAATACATTATAGAAGGCATTACCACCCACAGTGGACAGCACAGTAGCTGATCACGTGTGCTTAATGATCGTGATCGGCGGCATTTGGCTAGAATTATCAGTGCGAACAGACAAGCAAACTCTGGCAGAAATCACATCCACATTCAGTGCAGGAGGCTCCACAGGCATATCCTGCAGGTCAGTGCAGCGTTCCTTATCCTCCATGAGATATGGGAGCAGAAGACTGACTAGAGTGCCTTTGTTAACATCACAACACCGGACACAGCGCCTCACTTGGGCTTGTGAGGTTGCTAATCGGACCCTAGAGGACTGGCAACATGTGTCATGGTCTGATGAGTCATGGTACCAGTTGTTTCAGGGATGAGAGTTCATGTGTGGTGCAGACCCCATGAAGCCATGGACCCCAGTTGTCAACAAGGCACTGTGCAGGCTGGTGGTGGTTCCGTAATGGTGTGGGGTGTGTTCTCAAGGCATGGTTTGGTTTAAACAGTGATAAAAATAATATATTTAAAAAATGTTGGCCTTGCTCATTTTAACAATCAGTAAATGTCAGTTTATATATGGATGGAACAAGACAAGAGGGCTTACTTACTAAAATGTTCTTGATCAGATGTGACTGCTGTTGATGTGGTCCTGAAAGATGCTGTTGTGGGTTTCATAGTTGTGCTTGGATTTGATGTTTCTTTTGCTTCTTTAAAATGTACAGAAAAAAACACGCAAAAAACAAAAAAACAATCATTTGAAGAAATAGACAGACAAACACAGTTAAAACAGCTAACCACCACCTAAGACTCTGTAACTTACTCTGTTCTCTGTTGAGTGAAGATGACTGTCACACTCAGTGTAGAGTGTCAGTAGTGGTCACTTTACACATTTTTTGTTAGTTTTCCAACAAAAACATTAAGGGTAGTTATTCGCCCTCCCTCCTGTCAGTCAGAAATATGGCCAGACTTGAAAAAAGAAAACTATGTTATATTTTAATCATGCAAAATATTTATCAGATTTTTTAAATGTTCAAAAATCAGCTTAGAAAGGTTCTTCACTCACCACAACAATCATCTTCACTTGACACCAATAAACAGTTGAGGTGGAAAGTAACAAATTTCATTTAGTCTGTTTGCAGTACTTGCATGCATTTTT